TTTTTTTTTTTTTTTTTTTTTTTTTTTTTTTTGGACCCTGTCCTGGAACTCTCTTGTAGACCAGGTTGACCTTGAACTCACAGAGATGCACCTGCCTGTGCTTGGATTAAAGGCGCCACCACAGCCCAGCTGTTTTTTTGTTTTCTGTTTCCACTTGACTGGCCTGGAACTTGATAGGTAGATCAGTCTACTTAGCCTCAAACTCATTGAGAGCGGCCTTCCTCTGCCCCTTGAGTGCTGGGATTAAAGGTGTGCATCACTGTCCCTGGCCCCAATTTAAAACAAAACAAAGAAATGTATATGGGTATTTTGCCTGCTTGTATTTTATACAGCTGGTAGCCTTGGAAGCCAAACGAGTTTTCTGGATCCCCTGGAACTAGAGTTACAGATGGTTTTACGCCACCATAAGGATGTTTGGAATTGAACCTGGGTCCTCTGGAAGACCAGCCAGTGCTCTTTACTGCTGAACTGTCTCTCCGGGTCAGAATGTTTTAATATATCATTTAATATGGCCATCACTCCAGCCTGCACTTGAGATTCTTCGTCCTTATCATGCTTTTTGATCATGGAAAGTAATTGAGTGTGTATATTTGTTGTTTAGGGTTTAAAAATTTTTTTTGTGACCCTGGAGAGAGGGATCAGCAGCTAAGAACACTGACTGTTCTTTCAGAGGTCCTGGGTTCAATTCCCATTGCCCTCATGGCAGCTCACAACTAATCAGTATCTCCCGTTTCAGGGGATCTGATGCTGTCACACAGACACAAGCGTAGGCAAAAACAAATGCACGTAAAAGTAAACAAATAATATTTTTTCTTATTTTATGTATATGAGTCTTTTGCCTGTATGTATGTCTGCGCCACAAATGTGCCTAGTACTACAGAGGCCAGAGCCTCTGAAATTGGAATTAAAGATGGTTGTGAGCCGCCGTGTCCTCTGTAAGAGCCCTGGGTCCTCTGGAAGAGCAGTCAGTGCTCTTAACTACTGAGTCATTTCTCCAGCCCCAATTTTGTGTGTGTGTGTGTGTGTGTGTGTGTGTGTGTGTGTGTGTTGCTAGGGATCACACCCATGCCCTAGCACAATGCTCTCCCATTGTACTACAGGGTCAGCCACACTTCAAGTTTGTCCTTGACCTCAAAGCCAGTAAAAGTTGTGTTGGTTTTCAGTTGGGATACCTAGTGTTAAATTTCCTGTTTAGCTGTAGTAATCATTTCTTGTCTATATATGTGATTATAAGTTTTCTAACATTTTTATTATTTACTGTTTATCGATTTTGTTTTTATTTATTCTTGGTTTTGGAGGACAGAGTCTCATTGTATAGTCCAGGCTGAGCTTGAACATGTGATTGTCCTGCTTTGCCTCCCAAGTGCTGGTATTGTAGGCATGTGCTGCCATACCTGACTGTTCTATGTTATTTTAAACAGTGCACTTGTACAGGTCAGAGGACAACTTTTAGAGTTGGCTCTGACCTTTGTGTAAATGCTAGGGATTGAATTTAGGACATCAGACATTGACAGCAAGCACCTTTATCTGCTGATCCCTCTTATCATCCCTTTTAGGCAATTTTTTTTTTCAAGACAAGATTTCTCTGTAGCTTTGGTGCCTGTCCTGGAACTAGCTCTTGTAGACCAGGCTGGCCTCGAACTCCTAGAGATCAGCCTGCCTCTGCCTCCGAGTGCTGGGATTAAAGGCGTACACCACCACCACCCGGCCCCTTTTAGGTTATTTTTAAAGTGGCAGGTAGATCTTTGAGTTCAAGGCTAGCCTGATTTATGGAGCTAGTTCTAGGACAACCAAGGCTACACAGAGAAACCCTGTCTCAAAAAAACAAAACAAAGAAATAACAAAACAACAACAACAAAGAGCTTAATTTTGTTAATTGTATTGTGTTTATGCTTAATTATGAAAAATAACTTAGGTTCTTTTTGTTGTAATTTGTATTTCTATTTATATTCTAAAATACAAATATAAGATATAATACATGCATTTAACACAATTCATATGCTTTCTTTCTTTATTTCACAGTGGTAACAATCCGTATTCCTCATTTGGAGCAACTCTGGAGAGGGATGATGAAAAGAATTTATGGAGTATGCCTCATGATGTGTCCCACACAGAGGCAGACGATGACAGGATCTTGTATAATCTGATAGTCATTCGTAATCAGCAGACTAAAGACTCAGAGGTAAGCACTTTCTGAGATGTTACTATGTACAGCTGAAAGTACATGGTAAGAAATTGCCATTATAGGGCCAGGGCGGACCTTGGCTCTGCCAGTACAGAGCCTCTTGTGTGAACATAAAGACCCGAGTTTGATACCCTAGAACTCATATAAAAAAACTGGGTATGGCAGTACGTCCCTGTCATCTCAGTGCTGGAGAGGCTGAGACACAGGAGGATCCCTGGGTCAGTCTATTGACTCAGTGAGTTCCAGGTTCACTGAGAGGTCCTGTCTCAAAAGGTAAGGTGGAAGGGTGGAGAGATGACTCAGGGGTCAGGTGCTCACTGTACAAGCCTGTGGTCCTGTGTTGGAATCCACAGCTGCATTCCCACGAGTCTGTAATCGTAGTACGCCCCCACTAGAGGCAGGAGAACTGCCAGAAGCCCATGCACCAGCCAGCCTGGAATACACAGTGATGAGCAAGAAAAACCTTGTTTCAAGCAAGGTAGAAGTAGGGACCGATGCCAGAGGTGGTTCTCTGAGGCTATGGTGAGTGTGCTCATACATGCCCACACGTACAGAGCTAACAACCCTGTCTCAGAAAAACAAAACAAAAGAAGACCAGCTGGAAGGAAAGAATGGGCAGGACTACACGGTCGGTGGTTAGGCTGGAAAAGAATGGGCAGGACTACACGGTCGGGTGGTTAGGCTGGTCTTGAGTTCTTGTTCCTGCCTCGTCCTGCCTTGTGGTAGGGACTCAGCCTATAGATAAGTTGTGTGACATGAAAGAAAAGTATCTTAGCAGTGTGCACTAGTACTTGTTAGTTATGGTTAGTGTTGGTCGACTTGCTTGCCACCTTGACAGGACTCATTTTTAACTTAGTAGTACAGACTGCATATAAGGCAGTGCTGTTGGAGAACAGTGAGGATGACTTGAAGTCTTAATCATCTCTTATCTTTCCAGTTGTTCAACAAGCCACAGTCAGATAGTTCAGATAGTTTTGATTTGTGCTTTGATACAGGGTCTCAGAGCTTAGCCTCGGCTGACTAGGGAATCACTGTGTAGACCAGGCTAGCCCGGGGCTCACAGAGATCTGCCTGCCTTTGCATCACCTTGCCCAGCTTTTACGGGTGGCTTTAGAAGTGCATGTGTTCTGGTGTCTTGGTTTTGGTGTGGTTTGGTTCCTGTAGCGGATCCCAGGAGGTGGTTGTCTGCAGCTGAGCCCTGCAGCCCTCCTGGGAGGGACTCTTGTGCCATCTTCTATGTGTGTCTGAAATGACAGTAGAAGAGGCAACAGGTGCCGCAGAACACTTCCCAAGTGCAGCTTCCGAAGCGAGCCAGGTATGGATGGCCGAGGGCCACCTGGAGTTTTTTCTTGTTTGCTTGTTTTTTGTCTTTTTCTTCTTCTTGCTCAAGAAATGATGTCAAGCCGGGCGGTGGTGGCGCATGCCTTTAATCCCAGCACTTGGGAGGCAGAGGCAGGTGGATCTCTGTGAGTTCGAGGCCAGCCTGGTCTATACGAGCTAGTTCCAGGACAGGCACCAAAAAAACTTCAGAGAAACCCTGTCTCGAAAATCCAAAAAAAAAAAAAAGAAATGATGTCAAGCTTGACTCTCAGAGACTATCACTAAGAAAAATAACCAGAGAAATACCATGAAGATTTGATGGTTCCCACACATGAAGAGCTTTGGATATCTGTTCACAGGGCTTCCCATTCTTTAGAAAAATGCAAAAAAGTAATATGATTAATAAAAGATGGCTGTATCTTTCAACAGGTGAAACGAAAGCATATGAATTATTCATTTCTCACAGATTGGACTGTAGATCACATAGTCTTCTGCACCTTGTTTTTTTTCTGCTTCATGTGTTCTGGACACATTTCTATTTCTGTATGCTCACATTTTCTTTATTGTGTTTGGAGGCTTTCTGGTATTCTGGTGCGTGGATTTTTCTACTGTTTATTCAGCCAGTACATATTGCTGTTGAGATTTAATTCCTTTTTTTTGCTATTAGAAGTCATGCTGCATTTGACACCTAGGTGAGATGTGTCTTTCTCAGGAATTGCATTCCTGCATCACAGCCTATACATTTACAATGGAGCTGGAGGGATGGGCTCAGCGGTTAACAGCCCTAGTTGCTCTTCTAGAGGGATCAGGTTCAATTCCCAGCACCCACATGGCGGTTCACCACCACTTGTAACTCTAGTTCCAGGGAATCTGATGGTGTCTTCCGGCCTCCATGGGCACCGGGCACCCACATGGTGCATGTACATACATGCGGGCAAAGCACTCATACATATAAAACAAAACAATTTAATTGGGATCTAGGAAGAACACCTGAGGGTACAGAATGGAGGTTGAGATCTGAGATCGCCCCAGGGATTAGGTCTAAAGGGACATCAGTGAATGATGTAGTTCCCCTCCCTCCCCCACCCAGCACCCTGGATGGCATTAGGGACTCGTGCTGTCTCCACGGGCTCAGGTGGCTGAGCTCCAGACAGTTACTGCCATGCAGAGAATGTGGGCCCTAAAATGGTAGAACTTTTGCTTTTTACAGTGAAACTGAAAAATCTTCATTTTCATTATAAAATAGCCAGATTTAAAAAAAAAAAAAACCCTCGGGGCTGGAGAGATGGCTCAGCGGTTAAGAGCATTGCCTGCTCTTCCAAAGGTCCTGAGTTCAATTCCCGGCAACCACATGGTGGCTCACAACCATCTGTAATGAGGTCTGGCGCTCTCTTCTGGCCTGCAGACATATACACAGACAGAATATTGTATGCATAATAAATAAATATTAAAAAAAACCCTTATACTAGGAAACTTGCCAGCTAACCCAAATGTTAACAGATTGCTGATACATGAGGACATATAGAATGGCGTCCACTCTACTGTAATTATCCCTTTGTCCAGCCTGATGGCACAATGGACTCACCATTGTGTTTTAAGATGAGCTAGAAAGCTGGTAAGCTGGTATTTTAAGTCCAATTCTGTACTTATTACTATGCTATTTCCTCTCTCAAGAAGGATAGCTTTGGTACAGGTGTTAATAAAACAGACGATCTGGGCTTTAAAAATAAAATTCCACCTAATAAAAGGAATGCTAGATAATTTTCACATGTGTTGTTTGGAAGTTCAAACAGTATGTGAAGGGAGCTGAACAGTGTCTCTCCTTGAGTAACATCAGTACCGAAGACCCGGGAGCATTCATATTTAGCATCCTCTGAATAATGAAAAATAATTCCAGGACAGTGTGTGTGCTAGCTGCAGTCTCTGCACTGAGCCTGAGCTACTGCGGGAGAACAGCGTATAGTTAAGATCGACTTACTCCACATGGAAAGGCATGAAGAAAAGGCTCCCAACTTAACTGGCAGAGCCAAAAAATATGAAAAGTAACATCATTTGAATCTCACAGACAGAATTCACTTGCTTTTATGCAAGCCCTCAAGCGTTGATGGGAACCAGACTCTGAGCAGAAGAAACGACACACTGACAGCCCCGCAGGGAGTGAAAAAGCGGTTCCTTGAAGGATGCTGAGAAGTGCTTGCTTTCTGTCTGACTGAGAATGAGCAAACGGTCTCATCCTCATGTCAGGCAATCGTTGTCCTTAGAGGCTCATTGAACTGCTTCTGCTTCATATAGTGCTCGGTTCTAAGGAGCTTCATGATTGTGGTTTATTATTGAAGCAATTGATTTATTCGTTTATAAAAAGTAAAATCAGTAAGCACACTGATTTGTCCGAGATAACGATAATGAACCGTGTTTAGCACTAGTCCTCTCAATTTTGTAACTCAGGATGCCCTTGTAAGAACTCAGTGAAGCAAGCAATTGTTCTTGTTGCCACTTTAAACAACTTACCCAAGGCCACATACCTGTTAAGTTTAAAGTCAGGATTTGAATCTGAGCTTTATGAGTCCCAAGACACAATAAATAATGTGGAAGGAACACACAGCACTGGCGATTGAATCTAGATCCATTTTCAGAGAGCGTTGATGAAGTCTGCCCACAGCCTGCGTATGGTTTGGTGAAGCCAGTGGGTAAGAAAGGCATTTTTCAGTGGTGGTGCATGCCTTTAATCTCAGCACTCAGGAGGCATATCTCTGTGAGTTCGAGACCAGCTCTGGTCTACAAGAGCTAGTTCCAGGACAGGCTCCAAAGCTACAGAGAAACCCTGTCTCAAAAAACCAAAAAAAAAAAAAAAAAAAAAAAAAAAAG